GAGATGGACACATTGAAAGACAAGATGGAAAGAGACAAGATGGACACACATCGAAGGAAATATTGAAGACAAGATGGACAGACGGGTGACAGTGAAAGAAATATGGAAGACGAGATGGACACACATTGAAGGGATATTGAAGACAAGATGGACACATCGAAGGAAATATTGAAGACAAGACGGGTAGACAGTGAAAGAAATATGGAAGACGAGATGGACACACATTGAAGGGAATATTGAAGACAAGATGGACACACATCGAAGAAATATTGAAGACAAGACGGGTAGACAGTGAAAGAAATATGGAAGACGAGATGGACACACACATTGAAGGGAATATTGAAGACAAGATGGACACACATCGAAGGAAATATTGAAGACAAGACGGGTAGACAGTGAAGGCAAAGAAATGAATGGAAGACGAGATGGACACACATTGACAAGGGAATATTGAAGACAAGATGGACACACATCGACAAATGGGAAATATTGAAGACAAGACGGGTAGACAGTGAAAGAAATATGGAAGACGAGATGGACACATTGAAGGGAATATTGAAGACAAGATGGACACATCGAAGGAAATATTGAAGACAAGACGGGTAGACAGTGAAAGAAATATGGAAGACGAGATGGACACACATTGAAGGGAATATTGAAGACAAGATGGACACATCGAAGGAAATATTGAAGACAAGACGGGTAGACAGTGAAAGAAATATGGAAGACGAGATGGACACACATTGAAGGGAATATTGAAGACAAGATGGACACACATCGAAGGAAATATTGAAGACAAGACGGGTAGACAGTGAAAAAAAGAAATATGGAAGACGAGATGGACACACATTGAAGGGAATATTGAAGACAAGATGGACACACATCGAAGGAAATATTGAAGACAAGACGGGTAGACAGTGAAAGAAATATGGAAGACGAGATGGACACATTGAAGGGAATATTGAAGACAAGATGGACACACATCGAAGAAAATATTGAAGACAAGACGGGTAGACAGTGAAAAAAAATATGGAAGACGAGATGGACACACATTGAAGGGAATATTGAAGACAAGATGGACACACATCGAAGGAAATATTGAAGACAAGACGGGTAGACAGTGAAAGAAATATGGAAGACGAGATGGACACACATTGAAGGAAATATTGAAGACAAGATGGACACACATCGAAGGAAATATTGAAGACAAGACGGGTAGACAGTGAAAAGAAATATGGAAGACGAGATGGACACACATTGAGGGAATATTGAAGACAAGATGGACACACATCGAAGGAAATATTGAAGACAAGACGGGTAGACAGTGAAAGAAATATGGAAGACGAGATGGACACACATTGAAGGAATATTGAAGACAACAAGATGGACACACATCGAAGAAATATTGAAGACAAGACGGGTGACAGTGAAAAGAAATATGGAAGACGAGATGGACACACATTGAAGGGAATATTGAAGACAAGATGGACACATCGAAGGAAATATTGAAGACAAGACGGGTAGACAGTGAAAGAAATATGGGAAGACATTGAGAATATGGAAGACAAGACACACATTGAAGGGAATATTGAAGACAAGATGGTGACAGTGAACAAATATCGAAATGGAAATATTGAAGACAAGACAGGTAGACAGTGAAAGAAATATGGAAGACGAGATGGACACACATTGAAGGGAATATTGAAGACAAGATGGACAAGACACATCGAAGGAAATATTGAAGACAAGACGGGTAGACAGTGAAAGAAATATGGAAGACGAGATGGACACACATTGAAGGGAATATTGAAGACAAGATGGACACATCGAAGGAAATATTGAAGACAAGACGGGTAGACAGTGAAAGAAATATGGAAGACGAGATGGACACACATTGAAGGGAATATTGAAGACAAGATGGACACACATCGAAGGAAATATTGAAAGACAAGACAGGTGAACAGTGAAAGAAATATGGAAGACGAGATGGACACATTGAAGGGAATATTGAAGACAAGATGGACACATCAGAAGGAAATATTGAAGACAAGACGGGTAGACAGTGAAAGAAATATGGAAGACGAGATGGACACACATTAGAGGGAATATTGAAGACAAGATGGACACACATCGAAGGGAAATATTGAAGACAAGACGGGTAGACAGTGAAAAGAAATATGGAAGACGAGATGGACACATTGAAGGGAATATTGAAGACAAGATGGACACACATCGAAGGAAATATTGAAGACAAGACAGGTAGACAGTGAAAGAAATATGGAAGACAGAGATGGACACACATTGAAGATGGAACATCGAAGAAACAAGATGGACACATCGAAGGGAAATATTGAAGACAAGACGGGTAGACAGTGAAAGAAATATGGAAGACAAGAGATGGACACACATTGAAGGGAATATTGAAGACAAGATGGACACATCAGAAGGAAATATTGAAGACAAGACAGGTAGACAGTGAAAGAAATATGGAAGACGAGATGGACACATTGAAGGAATATTGAAGACAAAGATGGACACACATCGAAGGAAATATTGAAGACAAGACGGGTAGACAGTGAAAGAAATATGGAAGACAGATGGACACACATTGAAGGGAATATTGAAGACAAGATGGACACATCGAAGGAAATATTGAAGACAAGACGGGTAGACAGTGAAAGAAATATGGAAGACAGAGATGGACACACATTGAAGGGAATATTGAAGACAAGATGGACACACATCGAAGGAAATATTGAAGACAAGACGGGTAGACAGTGAAAGAAATATGGAAGACGAGATGGACACACATTGAAGGGAATGAAGAAATTGAAGAATGGACAAGATGGACACACATCGAAGGAAATATTGAAGACAAGACGGTAGACAGTGAAAGAAATATGGAAGACGAGATGGACACACATTGAAGGGAATATTGAAGACAAGATGGACACACATCGAAGGAAATATTGAAGACAAGACGGGTAGACAGTGAAAAGAAATATGGAAGACAAGATGGACACACATTGAAGGAATATTGAAGACAAGATGGACACACATCGAAGGAAATATTGAAGACAAGACGGGTAGACAGTGAAAGAAATATGGAAGACGAGATGGACACACATTGAAGGGAATATTGAAGACAAGATGGACACACATCGAAGGAAATATTGAAGACAAGACGGGTAGACAGTGAAAGAAATATGGAAGACGAGATGGACACACATTGAAGGAATATTGAAGACAAGATGGACACATCGAAGGAAATATTGAAGACAAGACGGGTAGACAGTGAAAGACGAGATATTGGATTGAAGACAAAGATGGACACATCGAAGGAAATATTGAAGACAAGACGGGTAGACAGATGGAAAGAAACATGGAAGACGAGATGGACACATTGAAGGAATATTGAAGACAAGACATCGAAGGAAACAGTGAAGACAAGATGGAAGACAGTGAAAGAAATATGAAGACGGATGGACACATTTGAAGGGAATATTGAAGACAAGATGGACACACATCGAAGGAAATATTGAAGACAAGACGGGTAGACAGTGAAAGAAATATGGAAGACGAGATGGACACACATTGAAGGGAATATTGAAGACAAGATGGACACACATCGAAGGAAATATTGAAGACAAGACGGGTAGACAGTGAAAGAAATATGGAAGACGAGATGGACACACATTGAAGGGAATATTGAAGACAAGATGGACACACATCGAAGGAAATATTGAAGACAAGACGGGTAGACAGTGAAAGAAATATGGAAGACGAGATGGACACACATTGAAGGAATATTGAAGACAAGATGGACACACATCGAAGGAAATATTGAAGACAAGACGGGTAGACAGTGAAAAAATATGGAAGACGAGATGGGACACATTGAGGGGAATATTGAAGACAAGATGGACACACATCGAAGGAAATATTGAAGACAAGACGGGTAGACAGTGAAAGAAATATGGAAGACAGAGATGGACACACATTGAAGGGAATATTGAAGACAAGATGGACACACATGAAGACAAAGACGAAGTGAAAAATTGAAGACAAGACAGGAATATTGAAACAACAGTGAAAGAAATAGACAGTGGAAGACGAGATGGACACACATTGAAGGAATATTGAAGACAAAGATGGACACACATCGAAGGAAATATTGAAGACAAGACAGGGGTGAAGAAATGGAACAGATGGACAAAGAAATATGGAAGACAGATGGGATGGACACACATTGAAGGAATATTGAAGAAGACAAGATGGACACACATCGAAAGGAAATATGGAAGACAAGACGGGTAGACAGTGGACAAAAGGAAATATGAAGACAAGAAGACAGTGAAAAGATGGACACATTGAAGGGAATATTGAAGACAAGATGGACACATCGAAGGAAATATTGAAGACAAGACGGGTAGACAGTGAAAGAAATATGGAAGACGAGATGGACACACATTGAAGGGAATATTGAAGACAAGATGGACACACATCGAAGGAAATATTGAAGACAAGACGGTGAACAGTGAAAGAAATATGGAAGACGAGATGGACACACATTGAAGGGAATATTGAAGACAAGATGGACACACATCGAAGGAAATATTGAAGACAAGACAGTGGAAATATGGAAGACAGTGAAAGAAAATATGGAAGACGAGATGGACACACATTGAAGGGAATATTGAAGACAAGATGGACACACATCGAAGGGAAATATTGAAGACAAGACGGGTAGACAGTGAAAAAGAAATATGGAAGACGAGATGGACACACATTGAAGGGAATATTGAAGACAAGATGGACACACATCGAAGGAAATATTGAAGACAAGACGGGTAGACAGTGAAAGAAATATGGAAGACGAGATGGACACACATTGAAGGGAATATTGAAGACAAGATGGACACACATCGAAGGAAATATTGAAGACAAGACGGGTAGACAGACGAGATGGAAATTGAAATATTGAAGACAAGATGGACACATCAGGACATTGAAACAAGACGGGAATAGTGAAGAAATGACAAGATGGACACAGTCATGGAAGGAAATATTGAAGACAAGACGGGTAGACAGTGAAAGAAATATGGAAGACGAGATGGACACACATTGAAGGGAATATTGAAGACAAAGATGGACACACATCGAAGGAAATATTGAAGACAAGACGGGTAGACAGTGAAAGAAATATGGAAGACGAGATGGACACACATTGAAGGGAATATTGAAGACAAGATGGACACACATCGAAGGAAATATTGAAGACAAGACGGGTAGACAGTGAAAGAAATATGGAAGACAGATGGACACACATTGAAGGGAATATTGAAGACAAGATGGACACACATCAGAAGGAAATATTGAAGACAAGACGGGTAGACAGTGAAAGAAATATGGAAGACAGATGATGGACACACATTGAAGGAATAATGAAGACAAAGATGGACACATCGAAGAAATATTGAAGACAAGACGGGTGAACAGTGAAAGAAATATGGAACAAGATGGACACATTGAAGGGAATATTGAAGACACATCGAAGGAAATATTGAAGACAAGACGGTAGATGGAAAGAAATATGGAAGACGAGGATGGACACATATTGAAGGAATATTAGAAGACAAGATGGACACACATCGAAGGAAATATTGAAGACAAGACGGGTAGACAGTGAAAGAAATATGGAAGACGAGATGGACACATTGAAGGGAATATTGAAGACAAGATGGACACACATCGAAGGAAATATTGAAGACAAGACGGTAGACATGAAAGAAAATATGGAAGACGAGATGGACACACATTGAAGGGAATATTGAAGACAAGATGGACACATCGAAGGAAATATTGAAGACAAGACGGGTAGACAGTGAAAAGAAATATGGAAGACAGAGATGGACACACATTGAAGGGAATATTGAAGACAAGATGGACACACATCGAAGGAAATATTGAAGACAAGACGGGTAGACAGTGAAAGAAATATGGAAGACGAGATGGACACATTGAAGGGAATATTGAAGACAAAGATGGACACACATCAGAAGGAAATATTGAAGACAAGACAAGACGGTGAAGGAAATATTGAAGACAAGTGGAAAGAAATATTGAAGACAAGAAGACAGAAAGATGGACACACATTGAAGGGAATATTGAAGACAAAGATGGACACATCGAAGGAAAATATTGAAGACAAGACGGGTAGACAGTGAAAAAGAAATATGGAAGACGAGATGGACACACATTGAAGGGAATATGAAGACAAGATGGACACACATCGAAGGAAATATTGAAGACAAGACGGGTAGACAGTGAAAAGAAATATGGAAGACAGAGATGGACACACATTGAAGGGAATATTGAAGACAAGATGGACACATCAGAAAAATGAAGACAAGACAAGGAAATATTGAATGGACAAGAATATTGAAGACAAGATGGAAAGAAATATTATGACAAGAAGACAGTGAAAGATGGACGAGATGGACACATTGAAGGGAATAGCCAAGACAAGATGGACACACATCGAAGAAATATTGAAGACAAGACGGGTAGACAGTGAAAGAAATATGGAAGACGAGATGGACACATTGAAGGAATATTGAAGACAAGATGGACACACATCGAAGGAAATATTGAAGACAAGACGGGTAGACAGTGAAAGAAAAATATGGAAGACGAGATGGACACACATTGAAGGGAATATTGAAGACAAGATGGACACACATCGAAGGAAATATTGAAGACAAGACGGGTAGACAGTGAAAGAAATATGGAAGACAGGATGGACACACATTGAAGGGAATATTGAAGACAAGATGGACACACATCGAAGGAAATATTGAAGACAAGACGGGTAGACAGTGAAAGAAATATGGAAGACGAGATGGACACACATTGAAGGGAATATTGAAGACAAGATGGACATCGACAAACGGGGAACAGTGAAAGAAAGAAATTGGAAGACAAGACGGATGTTGAAGACAAGATGGAAAGAAATATGGAAGACGAGATGGAAACAAATTGAAGGGAATATTGATTGAAGACAAGATGGACACACATCGAAGGAAATATTGAAGACAAGACAGGTAGACAGTGAAAGAAATATGGAAGAAGAGATGGACACACATTGAAGGGAATATTGAAGACAAGATGGACACATCGAAGGAAATATTGAAGACAAGACGGTAGACAGTGAAAGAAATATGGAAGACAGAGATGGACACACATTGAAGGGAATATTGAAGACAAGATGGACACACATCAGAGGAAATATTGAAGACAAGACGGGTAGACAGTGAAAGAAATATGGAAGACGAGATGGACACACATTGAAGGGAATATTGAAGACAAGATGGACACATCGAAGGAAAAAATATTGAAGACAAGAAGGGTAGACAGTGAAAGAAAATATGACAAGACGACAGTGGACACATTGAAGGGGAATATTGGGGAAGAACAAGATGGACACACATCGAAGGAAATATTGAAGACAAGACAGGTAGACAGTGAAAGAAATATGGAAGACGAGATGGACACACATTGAAGGAATATTGAAGACAAAGATGGACACACATCAGAAGGAAATATTGAAGACAAGACGGGTAGACAGTGAAAAGAAATATGGAAGACGAGATGGACACACATTGAAGGGAATATTGAAGACAAGATGGACACACATCGAAGGAAATATTAGAGAAGACAAGACAAGACAGTGAAGAAATATGGAAGACAGATGGACACAAAATATTGGACAAAATGGATCAGAGATGACAAGACACATGATGAATGGAAGGAATGGACACATTAGAGGAATGAAGACAAGATGGACACATCGAAGGAAAGATTGAAGACAAGACAGGTAGACAGTGAAAGAAATATGGAAGACGAGATGGACACACATTGAAGGGGAATATTGAAGACAAGATGGACACACATCGAAGGAAATATTGAAGACAAGACGGGTAGACAGTGAAAGAAATATGGAAGACGAGATGACACACATTGAAGGGAATATTGAAGACAAGATGGACACATCAGAAAGGAAATATTGAAGACAAGAGACAGACAGTGAAAGAAATATAAGACGAGACAAGATGGACACATTGAAGGAATATTGAAGACACACACATCGAAGGAAATATTGGAAGACAAGACGGTGAACAGTGAAAGAAATATGGAAGACGAGATGGACACACATTGAAGGGAATATTGAAGACAAGATGGACACACATCAGAAAATATTGAAGACAAGACGGGTAGACAGTGAAAGAAATATGGAAGACAAGATGGACACATTGAAGGGAATATTGAAGACAAGATGGACACATCGCTGAAATATTGGAAGACAAAGACGGGTAGACAGTGAAAGAAGGAAGACGAGATGACACATTACTGAAGGAATATTAAAGACAAAGATGGACACACATCGAAGGAAATATTGAAGACAAGACGGTAGACAGAAAGAAATATGGAAGACGAGATGGACACATTGAAGGGAATATTGAAGACAGATGGACACACATCGAAGGAAATATTGAAGACAAGACGGCAGACAGTGAAAGAAATATGGAAGACGATGGACACATTGAAGGGAATATTGAAGACAAGATGGACACACATCGAAAGGAAATATTGAAGACAAGACGGTAGACAGTGAAAGAAATATGGAAGACGAGATGGACACATTGGAAGAGGAAATAAGACAAGATGGACACACATCGAAGGAAATATTGAAGACAAGACGGGTAGACAGTGAAAGAAATATGGAAGAGAGATGACACACATTGAAGGGAATATTGAAGACAAAGATGGACACACATCGAAGGAAATATTGAAGAAGACAAGACGGGTAGACAGTGAAAGAAATATGGAAGACGAGATGGACACATTGAAGGGAATATTGAAGACAAGATGGACACACATCGAAGGAAATATTGAAGACAAGACGGGTAGACAGTGAAAGAAATATGGAAGACGAGATGGACACACATTGAAGGGAATAATGAAGACAAAGATGGACACACATCGAAGGAAATATTGAAGACAAGACGGTAGACAGTGAAAAGAAATATGGAAGACGAGATGGACACATTGAAAGGAATATTGAAGACAAGATGGACACACATCAAAGGAAATATTGAAGACAAGACGGGTAGACAGTGAAAGAAATATGGAAGACGAGATGGACACACATTGAAGGAATATTGAAGACAAGATGGACACACATCGAAGGAAATATTGAAGACAAAGACGGGTAGCAGTGAAAGAAATATGGAAGACGAGATGGACACACATTGAAGAGGAATATTGAAGACAAGATGGACACACATCGAAGGGGAAATATTGAAGACAAGACGGCAGACAGTGAAAGAAATATGGAAGACGAGATGGACACACATTGGAAAGGAAATATTGAAGCCAAGGATGGACACAGATCGAAGAAATACTGAGAACAAGACGGGTAGATAAGTGGAAAGAACATGGAGAAGACGAGATGGACACACATTGAAGGGGAATATTGAAGACAAGATGGACATACATCGAAGGAAATATTGAAGACAAGACGGTAGACAGTGAAAAGAAACAGGAAGACGAGATGGACACATTGAAGGGAATATTGAAGACAAGATGGACACACATCGAAGGAAATATTGAAGACAAGACGGGTAGACAGTGAAAGAAATATGGAAGACGAGATGGACACACATTGAAGGGAATATTGAAGACAAGATGGACACACATCGAAGGGAAATGTGAAGAAGACAAGACGGGTAGACAGTGAAAGAAATATTGGAAGACGAGATGGACACAGTAGAAGAAATTGAAGGGAATATTATGAAGACAAGATGGACACATCGAAGGAAATATTGAAGACAAGACAGGTAGACAGTGAAAAGAAATATGGAAGACAGGATGGACACACATTGAAGGGAATATTGAAGTCGATGGACACATCGAAGGAAATATTGAAGACAAGACGGGTAGACAGTGAAAGAAATATGGAAGACGATGGACACATTGAAGGAAATATTGAAGACAAGATGGACACATCACTGAAGGAAATATTGAAGACAAAGACGGGGTAGAGTGAAAGAAATGTGGAAGACGAGATGGACACATTGAAGGGAATATTGAAGTCAAGATGGACACACATCAGAAGGAAATATTGAAGAAGACAAGAACAGTGGTAGAAAGAAATATGGAAGATGAGATGGACACACATTGAAGGGAATATTGGAAGTCAAGATGGACATCGAAGGAACATTGAAGACAAGACGGGTAGACAGTGGAAGAAATATGGAAGACGAGATGGACACACATTGGAGGGGAATATTGAAGACAAGATGACATACATCGAAGGAAATATTGAAGACAAGACGGTAGACAGTGAAAAAGAAATATGGAAGACGAGATGGACACACATTGAAGGAATATTGAAGTCAAGATGGACACACATCGAAGGAAATATTGAAGACAAGACGGGTGAACAGTGAAAGAAAAATGGAAGGCGAGATGACACACATTGAAGGGAATATTGAAAGACAAGATGGTTACACACATCGAAGGAAGACATTGACGACAGAAGAAATATGGCAGACAGAGATGGACACACATTGAAAATATGGACACACGAGATGTGACATGAATACTGAAGGAAAATGTGGAAGACAAGATGGACACACATTGGAAGGAAAGGAAACATGGAACCCCAAGACGGGTAGACAAGAGTGAAAGAAAATATGGAAACAGAGATGGACACATTGAAGGGAATATTGAAGACAAGATGGACACACATCAGAAGGAAATGTGCAGACAAGACAGGTGAGACAAGATGGACACACATGAAGGAAATATTGAAGACAAGACGGTGGACAGTGAAAACATTGAAGACGAGATGGATACATTGAAGGGAATATTGAAGCCAAGATGGACACACATCGAAGGAAATACTGAAGACAAGACAGGTAGACAGTGAAAGAAATATGGAAGACGAGATGGACACATTGAAAGGAATATTGAAGACAAGATGGACGCACATCGAAGGAAATATTGAAGACAAGACGGGTAGACAGTGAAAGAAATATGGAAGACGAGATGGACACACATTGAAGGAATATTGGAAGACAAGATGGACACATTGAAGGAAATATTGAAGACAAGACGGGTAGACAGTGAAGAAATATGGAAGACGAGATGGACACACATTTGAAGGGAATATTGAAGACAAATGATGGACACACATCGAAGGAAATATTGAAGACAAGACGGGTAGACAGTGAAAGAATATGGAAGACGAGATGGACACACACATTGAAGGGAATAGTAAAGACAAGATGGACACACATCGAAGGGAAATATTGGAAGACAAGACGGGTAGACAGTGAAAGAAATATGGAAGACGAGATGGACACATTGAAGGGAATATTGAGGAACAAGATGGACACACATCGAAGGAAATATTGAAGACAAGACGGATGGACAGACAGTGAAAGAAATATGGGAAGACAGAGATGGACACATTGAACAGGAAGAAATTAAAGAGCAAGATGGACACATAAGAAGGGAAGGAAATGGACACACATTGAAGACAAGACGGGTAGACAGTGAAAGAAATATGAAGACGGATGGACACACATTGAAGGAATATTGAAGTCAAGATGGACACATCGAAGGAAATATTGAAGACAAGACGGGTAGACAGTGAAAGAAATATGGAAGACGAGATGGACACACATTGAAGGGAATATTGAAGACAAGATGGACACACATCAGAAGGAAATATTGAAGACAAGACGGGTAGACAGTGAAAGAAATATGGAAGACGAGATGGACACACATTGAAGGGAATATTGAAGTCAAGATGGACACACATCGAAGGAAAATATTGAAGACAAGACGGGTAGACAGTGAAAGAAATATGGAAGACGAGATGACATGCCATTGAAGGAATATTGAAGACAAGATGGACACACATCGAAGAAGGAAATATTGAAGACAAGACGGGTAGACAGTGAAAGAAATATGGAAGACGAGATGGACACACATTGAAGGGAATATTGAAGACAAGATGGACACATCGAAGGAAATATTGAAGACAAGACGGGTAGACAGTGAAAGAAATATGGGAAGACAAGATGGACACATTGAAGGAATATTGAAGACAAGATGGACACACATCCAGAGAAATAATGAAGACAAGACGGGTAGACAGTGAAAGAAATATGGAAGACGAGATGGACACACATTGAAGGGAATGTGAAGACAAGATGGACACACATCGAAGGAAATATTGAAGATAAAGACGGGTAGACAGAAAGAAATATGGGAAGACGAGATGACACACATTGAAGGGAATATTGAAGACAAGATGGACACATCGAAGGGAAACATTAAAGACAAGACGGGTAGACAGTGAGCAAATATGGAAGACGAGATGACACACATTGAAGGAATATTGAAGACAAGATGGACACACATCGAAGGAACATTAAAGACAAGATGCAGACAGTGAAAGAAATATGGAAGACGAGATGGACACATTGAAGGGAATATTGAAGACAAGATGGACACACATCGAAGGAAATATTGAAGACAAGACGGGTAGACAGTGAAAGAAATATGAAGACGAGATGGACACACATTGAAGGGAATATTGAAGACAAGATGGACACACAAGGAAATATTGAAGACAAGACGGTAGACAGTGAAAGAAATAGACGAGATGGACATTGAAGGGAATATTGAAGACAAGATGGACACACACATCGAAGGAAATATTGAAGAAGGGAAGACGGGTAGACAGTGCGTGAAAGAAATATGGAAGACGAGATGGACACACATTGAAGGGAAGACAAGACAAGATGACACACATCGAAGGAAGCCATTGGAAGACAAGACGGTAGACAGTGAAAGAAATATGGAAGACGAGATGGACACATTGAAGGGAATATTGAAGACAAGATGGGACAATAATACGAAGGAAATATTGGAAGACAAGACGGGTAGACAGTGAAAGAAATATGGAAGACGAGATGGACACACATTGAAGGGAATATTGAAGACAAGAGGACACATCGAAGGAAATATTGAAGACAAGACGGTAGACAGGAAAGAAATATGGAAGACGAGATGGACACACATTGAAGGGGAATATTGAAGACAAGATGGGACATATCGAAGGAAAAATATTGAAGACAAGACGGTAGACAGGAAAGAAATATGAAGACGAGATGGACACACATTGAAGGGAATATTGAAGACAAGATGGACACACATCGTAAAGGAAATATTAAAGACAAGACGGGTGACAGTGAAAGAAATATGGAAGACGAGATGGACACACATTGAAGGGAATATTAAAGACAAGATGACACATCGAAGGAAATATTGAAGACAAGACGGGTAGACAGGAAAGAAATAAGGAAGAAGACGGGGATGGACAATATTACATCGAAGGAAATATTAAGACAAGATGGTAGACAACAGGAAGATGAGATGGGACGAAGGAAATATTGAAGCACAAGACAAGACGGGTAGACAGTGAAAGAAAAGGAAGACGAGAGGACACACATTGAAGGGAAATTGAAGATTTAGAGGACACAATATCGAAGGAAATATTGAAGACAAGACGGGTAGAGTGAAAGAAATATGGAAGACGAGATGGACACACATTGAAGGAATATTGGAAGACAAAAGATGGACAAGACATCGAAGGAAATATGGGAAGACGAGATGGACAGACAGTGAAGGGAATATGGAAGACAAGATGGACACACGAAGGAAATATTGAAGACAAGACGGGTAGACAGAAAGAAATATGGAAGACGAGATGACACACATCGAAGGACAACACATCAGAAGGAAGAGAAGACAAGACGGGGTAGACAGTGAAAGAAATATGGAAGACGAGATGACACATTGAAGGAAATATTGTGCTTCAGATGGACACAGATCAAAGGAAATACTGAGGACAAGACAGGTAGACAGTGAAAGAAATATGGAAGACGAGATGGACACACATTGAAGGGAATATTGAAGACAAGATGGACTGGATCGGGAAGGAAATATTGAAGGACAAGACGGGTAGACAGTGAAAGAAAAAGAAATATGGAAGACGAGATGGACACATTGAAGGGAATATTGAAGACAGATGGACATACATCGAAGGAAATATTGAAGACAATACGGGTAAGAGACAGTGAAAAAATATGGAAGACGAGATGGACACACACAGTTGAAGGGAATATTGAAGACAAGATGGACACACATGAAGGGAAATATTGAAGACAAAGACGGGTAGACAGAAAGAAATATGAAGACGAGATGGACACATACTGAAGGGAATATGACAAGATGGACACATCGAAGGAAATGTGAAGACAAGACGGTAGACAGTGAAAAGAAATATGGAAGACGAGATGGACACACATTGAAGGGAATATTGAGCACAAGATGGACACACATCGAAGGAAATATTGAAGACAAGATTGCAGACAGTGAAAGAAATATGGAAGACGAGATGGACACACATTGAAGGGAATATTGAAGACAAGATGGACACACATCGAAGGAAATATTGAAGACAAGACGGGTAGACAGTGAAAGAAATATGGAAGACGAGATGACACACATTGAAGGGGGAAGACAAGATGGAAAGACAAGATGGACAGGGAACGAAGGAAAATAAAGACAAGAAGACAAAACGAAATAGACACGGGTGAAAGGGGGAAAGGAAGACGAGATGACACATTGAAGGGAGGATTGAAGACAAGATGGACACACATCGAAGGGGAAGACGGCAGAGACAAAACGGGAAGACGAGATATGGAAGAAGGGAATTGAAGACGAGAAGGAAACATTACATGGAAGAAGGGAATATGGAAGAGAGAGGAAAAATGGACAAGATGGACACATCGAAGGAAATATTGGAAGACAAAACGGCAGACAGTGAAAGAAATATGGAAGACGAGATGGACACACATTGAAGGGGAATATTGAAGACAAGATGGACAAAAGGAAAATGGAAGACAAGACAAAGAAAGGAAAGAAAAATGGAAACGAGATGGGGACACATATGGAAGACGAGATGGACACATCGAAAAATTGACAAAGCAAATATGGAATATAAGGGAAGACGAATGGACAATTGAAGGGAAAAAAAGACAATATGGAAGATCGAAGGAAATATTAAAGACAAGACGGGTAGACAGGAAAAAGAAATATGGAAGACGAGATGGACAATAACATTGAAGGGAAAATTGAAGACAAAAGATGGAACACGAAGGAAAAGAAGAAGACAAGACGGGTAGACAGAAAGAAATATGGAAGACGAGATGGACACATTGAAGGAAAATTGAAGACAAGATGGACACACATCGAAGGAAAATATTGAAGACAAGACGGGTAGAAAGAAAGAAATATGGAAGAAAGATGACACATTGAAGGGAAAATTGAAGACAAGATGGACACACATCGAAGGAAATATTGAAGACAAGACGGGTAGACAGAAAAAAATATGGAAGACGAAATAGACACACATTGAAGGGAATATTAAAGACAAGATGGACACACATCGAAGGAAATATTGGAAGACAAAGACGGGTAGACAGTGAAAGAAATATGGAAGATGAGATGGACACACATTGAAGGAATATTGAAGACAAGATGGACACACATCGAAGGGAAAATTGGAAGACAAGACGGTAGACAGAAAGAAATATGGAAGACGAGATGGACACACATTGAAGGGAATATTAAAGACAAGATGGACACACATCGAAGGAAATATTGAAGACAAGATGGGTAGACAAAGAAAGAAATATGGAAGACGAGATGGACACACATTGAAGGGAATATTGAAGTCAAGATGGGACACACATGAAGGAAAATATTGAAGACAAGACGGGTAGACAGAAAGAAATATGGAAGACGAGATGACACACATTGAAGGAATATTGAAGACAAGAGTGGACACACATGGAAGACGAAGGAAAATATATGGAAGACGAGACAAGACGGGTAGACAGTGACACACGAAGGAAATATGGAAGACGAGGGAAGACGAGAGATGGACACATTGAAGGACAAGATGGACACACACGAAGGAAAATATTGAAGACAAGACGGGGTGGCAAAAGATGGAAGACGAGATGGACACACATTGAAGGGAATATTGAAGACAAGATGGACACACAGAAGGAAATATTGAAGACAAAGAAGATATGGAAGACGAGATGACACACATTGAAGGGAATATTGAAGACAAGATGGACACACGAAGGAAATATTGAAGACAAGACGGGTAGACAGGAAAGAAATATGGAAGACGAGATGGACACACATTGAAGGAATATTGAAGACAAGATGGGACACATCGAAGGAAATATTGAAGACAAGACGGGTAGACAGTGAAAGAAATATGGAAGACGAGATGGACAATAATATTGAAGGGAAAGATGACACACACAGATGGACACATTGGGAATCGAAGGAACAGAAAGAAAATTGGAACATAAGACATTGAAGGGAATAGACATGCAATACACACAAAGAAAGATGGAAGACAGAAAGAGGGAAGACGAGGACACACATTGAAGGAATATTAAGACAAGATGGACACACATCGAAGGAAATATTAAAGACAAGACGGGTAGACAGGAAAGAAATATGGAAGACGAGATGGACACATTGAAGGGAATATTGAAGACAAGATGGACACACATCGAAGGAAATATTGGAAGACAAGACGGGTAGACAGAAAGAAAATATGGAAGACGAGATGGACACACATTGAAGGAATATTGAAGACAAGATGGACACACATCGAAGGAAATATTGAAGACAAGACGGGTAGACAGACGAGATGGACAGAAAAGAAACATTGAAGACGAGATGGACACGAAGGAAACATTGAAGACTGCAGACAGGAAATATTGAAGACGAGATGGACACACATCGAAGGAAATATTGAATGGACAAGACGAAGGAAACATTGAAAGAAATATGGAAGACGACGGTAGACAGGAAACACACATGAGGGACAATTGAAGGAAATATTGAAGACAAGATGGACACACATCGAAGGAAAATATTGAAAGACAAGACGGTAGACAGTGAAAGAAATATGGAAGACGAGATGGACACACATTGAAGGGAATATTGAAGACAAGATGGACACACATCGAAGGAAATATTGAAGACAAGACGGCAGACAGTGAAAGAAATAGCGGAAAAGACGAGATGGACACACATTGAAGGGAATATTGAAGACAAGATGGACACATCGAAGGAAATATTGAAGACAAGACGGGTAGACAGGAAAGAAATATGGAAGACGAGATGGACACATTGAAGGAATATTGAAGACAAGATGGACACAATACAAGATGAAGACACACATCGGGAAGGAAATATTGAAGACAAGACGAAGGGTAGACAGTGAAAGAAATATGGAAGACGAGATGGACACACATTGAAGGGAATACAAAGACAAGATGACACACATCGAAGGAAATATTGAAGACAAGACGGGGTAGACAGTGAAAGAAATATGGAAGACGAGATGGACAAAACAGACATTGAAGGGAATATTGGAAGACAAGATGGATACACACACTGAAGGAAATCAAAGACAAGACGGTAGACAAAAGAAATATGCGTGGAAGACGTGAGAGACACACATTGAAGGGAATATTGAAGACAAGATGGACAAGGATTGAAGACAAGACGGTGAAAAGAAATATGGAAGGAAATATTGAAGACAAATGGATGAAATATTGAAGACACATTGAAGGGATGGAAGACAAGATGACACACATCGAAGAAGACAAGACGGGTAGAGCACAAGATGGCAATGAAGGGAATATTGAAGACACACATCGAAGGAAATATTGAAGACAAGACGGGTAGACAGTGAAAGTTAAAAAATATGGGAAGACGAGATGGACACACATTGAAGGGAATATTGAAGACAAGATGGACACACAACAAATGAAGGAAATATTGAAGACAAGACAGGAAAGTGGAAGAGACAGACATTGAAGGAAATGGATTGAAGGAAATATTGAAGACAAGATGGACACACGAAGGAAATATTGAAGGGAATATGAAGGGAATATTGAAGACAAGATGGGACACACATCGAAAGAAATATTATTGAAGACAAGAAGACGAATGGAAGAAATATTGAAGGAATATTGAAGTCAAGATGGACAAGACGAAGATTGAAGACAGACAGTGAAAGAAATAAGGAAGACGAGATGGGGAAGAATATTGCAGACATCGAAGGAAAAGAAAGACGGGTAGACACGAAAGAAATACGGAAGACACACATTGAAGGAATAATT